TTTAAGAAGGGTCTGAGGGCCTCTTATGTACCATTTGACAGTAACTCATCATAAACTCTAGAATGTGCACTTGTAGTCAACTGTGGGCTGGTTCTGGGGAAGGGAAAAGGGGTCTAAGATGAAATGCAGTCCTCACCCTCCAGGGACTATTGCTGAAGAAAGGCACAGACAGGTGATGGGCTCAGGATGCTGTCAGAGAGGCATGTAGAGTTTAGGAAGCATATCAGGCCACCAAAATACAGAGGGAACCTGGGTGGGTATGGGCAGAGCAAGTGTCAGAGCACAGRGAATATTTAATCAGAGTCCTGGATAACTAGTAGGAACTGGCCAAGCAAGAGGGCTTTGGGASGGGCAGAAAGAGACCTTCCCAAGCAGACAGAATATGCAGTGATTTCACTTGCACCTCATACCTACTGCCATGCTGCAGTATTATCTCAGATTATAAAGAAGCAAACCCTGAAAAGTGACTTGCCCCAGGTCACTCATTTTGTAAGCAGTGAAACTGACATTTAAACATAGCACCATACGTAGCATCTGCCTCTCTAGACAACCCGGTCACTAAAGAGTAATCTTTCTCACTTAGTGATATCCACTTATATCTCGCATCCTGGCCTCAAAAACACCCATGGTGAATGCAAGTGTCTCTTAATCATTCTGAGAAGAAATCCAAAGTAGTATAGTTTTTAAAAGATCACAGAAGTTTAGATTCTCCTCTTCAAATCAGTTTAGAGAAACTGCATACAGTCACACACACACAGTCGCAGGGAATGGTAACATATCAAAGACCCCGAGATGTCGTGCAGAAAATCAATGTTAAACTTTGCTTACCCCAATGTCTGAAATGCAATTGACTATGAAAATCTCATCCTATTTTCCTACCCCCTTTCTTTTTAACAGTTGCATCCCTCAGAACTAGTATTCTAGGGAACACCTTTAGAACATTCTGATTTAGTCTTATTGTACTGATGAGGACACTGAGATCCAAAGAATTTGGGACCTGCCTTTAAGTACAAGAAAAGCCAGAATCAATTCACCAGACCTGCTTCCAGATCAATACTCTTCTCTGGTAAATCTCTTTCCAGACCCACACCCTCTGATAAATCGCACTTCAACATGTCTATTCCATACCTCTGATGCATAAACAGCACAAGCAGCACAGGACTTGACAACCTTGCAATTGTCAACTTACAAATCACCCATTTAAAAAAATACAAAGAAATCCCCAGGTGAGAGCTGAGATCGTGTACACAAACTTTGAGTATGTTTATAAACACTATTAATCGCCCTTGTCATGGTTTATACTAGTTCTCCCAGCCTGGCTGATATCAGTTGTTTATCTTCATTGCCATCCACTGAAATAATAATACCAATAACAACTTCTAGCTCTCTTTTTTCTCTCAATGTGAAGGATAACATTAATATATTGATGCACGTTTCTAGTGTTTATCTTTATACATCCATTTAAATGGAACAAAAACTGAAGAAATCACTCGTTAACAAGATAATCAAAATCAAACCTCTGTACCAAGTATTTCATTGATATATTAAATCCCATTATCACTAACTAAAAAAAATTATTTGTTTTGGAATTTGGTTGGAATTCAAGACAACCAAAAACAGATAGAGGGTCAGGACTGAAAAATTTTAAAGGTAATAAGCAAATTAAAAACATATTTCAAGGATACTTAGTACAAAATTTTGAGAAATATTTATGAATAGCAGCATATTATGAAAGGTCAGTTGGATTTTCTTTCTAGTAAGTTAAATATTCAGTGCTTGTGCTCTGCATTTGTTACCAAAGTCTTCTTTATCAGCAGAAGAAGGCAAATGATACCCTGCAAATGTTTTAAAAGTGCAACTTTGCTTATCTTCCTGTATTAATGTTCCTTATGGCAGTTGCTATATTAACCTTATCACACAGCACAGCAAAAGGGAGACCTATTGTAAAGGGAGGGGGGAAAACATTTCATTTAATCTCTGGGACCATTTTTTTTTTAGTTGTTGATAGACCTTTGTGTGTGTGTGTGTGTGTGTGTGTGTGTGTGTGTGTGTGTATATATATATCTGAGAATTGAACCCAGTGCTTCACACATGCCAGGCAAGCACACTACTGCTGCCCAGCCCCAACCCCTGGACCCCTGGGACTTTTATTAACCTAGCAGTTTTCTGATTGTCAAGAGGGGAAAAATTAAAGTTAGGCTTTTACTAGGTTTTCTTAAAATCTCAAAGAGAAACTAGACATTTGCAAATGGGTAATTCATTAAACACCATACAATGTGAAGAGGACACAGATTAGATTATCGACTAAATGCTCATTATGTGAGTTCTGGGTTTCACAGGGTCCACTAAGAGCCTTGACAAGGAGACAGGAAGTGGCTCCTCCAGAGAAAGTCAATCTCTCCTTCAGAGCTTGAATCGCTCGTTTATGGATGTGACACTACAGGAAATCCCATCTGCCCCTGGTAAGACTTCTATTTTCCTCTTCATACACTATCTGTGTAGACATGGAGGAAATTCAAAGGCTCCATCTTTTAATTTCTTTTTAACTTTGACAACAATATGTAACCTGACCTGAGCCCTTTTCTCTTGAGGTGCTTGAGAAAGCATCTAAACTTTATGATTGAAATTAGTATTTTCATTCAACTGCAAATGCTTGAACTCAACACACATATTAGCTGGGTGAACATACGCCTCTTCTGTTTCTTATGCCAGGTAATATGCTTTTTCCTTTTTTTTTTTTTTTTTTCATTATCCCTTTAATGCAGAGCAGGGCTACTGATTACAAAGAGGCAGTTTGACTCCAGCAATAGGTCTTCTTCACTAATCCTCACTGTCATGGAAATTCCAGCTGCTACAAGAATAAGAGGCTCAATCCATATTTGCCAGCTCTAATATGAAATCTGTCAGAGCCCAAATTAATGAGTTCCAAATTCCTTACATCACGATAACAGGTTAAGACTGGTCAATTAATTACATAAATCCTTCCCGATTCATTGTGCGTTTGCAGCCCAGATTGTGTCTTACATTACTCCATGACACAAGGCCTTTTGGCTCCTGTTGTTCCGCAGAAAGGCCCCATTTAAGTGGAGGCTGACTGCCATGGCAAAATGTTAAATGTCACACGTTAAATTTGCACTTTTCTGTAATTGCTTTTGTTAAAAAAAAAAAATTAAATGAAAGCACAGGGCTCCCAGTGTACCACTGTGCAGACGGCTGGAATTGTACTGAATGAATCCTAGGAAAGGCAAGTACCTGTTTTATCTCCAACAGTTCACACAGAGCCCTCTGTAACCAATTCTCTATAGGTAGTGGAACCCMAAAACGCATATATTTGTGAAAATAACCAAGTTTCCTGAGATCTGTGGCAATAAAAATACACATTTGGAAGATGTTTTGCTTTATTAAAGGATTAAAATGGGCTTCTCTACATGACTTCCCTTGTCTGTGTGTATACACACACACWCACACACACATACACATACACACTACCTGTGAACCTAATCACTTGAAAAGAAAAAATATATTATACAAGCATGTGTATTATATTTGTGTTAGGCCTTGCCTTTAAAAAGATGTTCCTCCGGGCTTTGCTATTTGGATTTGTAAATGTAATGTTAACAGAGGGTAGAAGAATTGAGGGCCTAGAATAACTCAAAATCATCCAGGTCAAAGCTTTTCCTTCTTAAAACGTCAAGATGTGCTTAGAATCAAGCCAGTGGGAACTCGACCTGGAACTATAACCTCAGGATTCCTAGCATAGTCTCCCTTCAAGCCACTGCATTTCTTTGTGGGGGTTTTTGCAGATGGGTGTTCTGTACCGAATGCAACCCGTTAGGGTTGTTTCCTGAATCATTTTACGAGCGAATAGATGATTTTCTGAGCACAAACTGAAACCTATAAGGGCTGCAAGTGCTTTCCACTGGGGAAACACTTCGGACCGGAACATTTCAGAGGCAGACAACTAGCCAGACCCAAGGCTGCAGGTTCTCGGGCTGACGGTCCGCTGCGGCCGCCGCACTGGCCCTGCAGCGCCGCCCTCTGTCCGCCAGAGGCCTTGCACCTAGTAGTCAACCGCCGAGCGCTTCTTTATTCGGGGGCAAAAAAGAAAAAACCTTCTCTCTTCTGTCCCCAGCCCAATGGGGGTTTTGTAGCTCTTCGCCCGTGTACGTACGTGTACACACACACACACACACACACACACACACACACATCAACCTCACCCACGGCCCAGTCGCACCAGGCTCGACTGTCCCCTCCCTCTCCAAATGAAAAGAGGCAGGTTAACACGACGACACACCGGCCAGGAAGGTTTTAGGCTCCCGGGGGGACTGAAAGAGACTGGGGTTAACATGTGCAGTGCAAGTGCAGATGAGAACATTGAGCATGCGGGGGTTTGCCCCAGCCCAGCCGCGTCCAGGGAGCTCAGGGGAACCCCCAGGCCATAGCCGCATCCAGGCTGAGCACCGTCGGTCTCTAGGGCGCAAGAGAGAGCTGTGCAGCGCGAGCATCTGCAGAACAAAGACACGGGTTCGGCCCCAAGCTGGGGGACGCCGCCTGCCTCCGCCCAGCGCTGCCCGCCCGGACCCAGCCAACGGGCGGCGGAGCCCTCTCTCGCGCTGCGCTCACGAGACCGACAGAAGCCCCGGAGACCCGGAGGGTCAAGGGTATTCAGAGATGCCTTCAACCCCAAACCCTCCATCCAAGGGCCTTTTATAATAACTATTWTTTTATTATCGCTTCTCTTTCCCAAGCAACCAGAGTTGTCATTTTAACGCTGGAAGGGGGCCTCGTGGTGCCCACGCTTGAAGCAGGTGGGGCAGGGAGCTGAGGTCTGTGCTGTAAATCGCTGTCTTTTTGTGGTGGTTGTTCCCACTCACCACCCGCCGCCCCCCTCCACCCTTTTTTTTTCCCCTCCCCTTTCCGCAGCGCAGTTGCTATGGGTTACCAGGGCGGTTGCCATGGGTTACCGGTCCGAGGCCGGTCGGCTCGCTACCTGCTACCCAGTCGCCGGCGGCGGCGGCAGAGCGGCCAGGGAGGGGAGGAGGCGGGAGCGCGCGTGTGCGGGACGCGGCGCGGGGGAGTGTGCGCGAGCCGCGGAGGCGCCGCAGCCAACAGGCGGCMGAGGGTGCAGCCGCTGGAGCGCCACCGCCGGTGGGGTGGGGGRCAAGGCTATAAAGAAGGCCCAGAGGTAAGAAACTAGCAAAAACACAACCACAAGTTATGCCCGTGCTGTGCCTCTAGCAGCAAAGACAAGCGGTGTGGGGTTTTGGATGCATCTACACTTCTCGTCGGGGGAGAAAGGGTATTTTCCTCTTTAGCATAAACCATTTGCATAGTGTCTTTAGACCAGCGTTTAAATTCAGCAGAAAATTGTGGCTTATTTTTTTTTTTCCTCTTTTTCTCTGTATCGTTTGAAAAGAAGTCTTTGGAATTTCAGAGAAAGAGAAAGGGTCATTAACTACTAGAGTTTGTACAGCTAAAATAAATTAGTGTCCAATGCACTGTTCATAACAAGGATCTAGAAAAGTTTCCAGCAAGAGTGAAGAGCAATTGTGTCTGACTTAAAGGGACAATGGTGACTCGTTTGTAAGATGCATACGGCAAAGAATAGAGCCAAAATCCTTTGTAAATATATCAAATTGTAAAGAAATTGTTTCTTATTTACATCCTAAATTTTCTGAACTCCATTTCTAAAAAAGTATGTTTCTTATGACCTTTATTTGCAAAGAAAATTGTATGTATGCTTTTAATGTCAAATTGCAATAACTAACTTCAGACAGTATTTGTATTTGAAACTGTGTTTATATATAAGAAAGTAAGAAAGGGACTATATTCCAAAACAAAACCACAAATTTGTACTGAAATAAATCATTTCCTCTGTTGAAAAGATGCTGCATTACATTTCAATATTAAGAGAGAGAGACTATTTTAGAAACAGAATAAGCTTTTGATATTTTAGAGGCCTTTCAGGAAAAGGGGTCTTCCTTATGTCTAAAAAAATGGTTCTTTACAGTTCAGATATTAGAAATCTTTTTTTGTAGCAAAATTGCTCAATAATGATGAATCCTTAAAGCCCCCAAAATCATAAACTAAGTTCAAAACAACGTCCAGTTTACTGCTGGATATAATGGTAATTGTGACTAAGCTAAATGAATTTATTTAAATTCTTAATTGTCATATACAGAGAAATTTTATTTTACTTTTATATGCTTCATACCTCTTGTTTCTATTGAATTATTCAATAAAATCTGATCTAGGCTTGAAAAGCACTGGCAAGATATCTAATATCTTAAGGTACAACTGCATAAAGATAAGCATTTGTGTGTTTCCCTAGTAATTTTTTAGACTTGAAATTTCAACTAGAATCAAATCACTTTCTTCCAAGTAAGATTATAAGAGAAGTCTTAAGTAACAGGTTGTTGATTTTTATTGGTTGTATATAAAGCCAGCTCTAAAACAAAACATGTAAGCTGGAATTGTAAGTGGATCGTTTACCCTTTCAGAATTATCCAGGGAAATAGTTTTGCTGTGTGTAAATCAAAGCATCAGGATTACAATGTTTTAAATTTAAGTTACATTTAAAAAAGAATATTAAATACTATTCTATTTAGTTACATAATTAAACAAAGCTTTTAAAAATATGCCAGAGAAAGGATAAGAGATAAACAAAACCATTGGGAGTTGAAGTTCAACTAAATATCGGGCTGCAAGAAATCAATTTTAAGAAGCCAATGCTTAGATATCAAAACAGCTGAACCAAGGAGGCAAATATGTACAGCTAAAGCAATAGTAAATCAAGTTTTACCAATTCTTCAAAAAAAAAAATACTGATAACTCAAAAACACACTGAATTTAGTTATAAATAAGAAGAAATACATTTTCTATGTAAAATAAGTGATACAACAAAGTTGATTATTTTTTCATGTTTAATGTGAAAAGGATGATCTCATGACATTTACATACCAAATACTAGGCATTATGTAGTATTAATGTTGATGGCTATGTTACATCAAAAAATAATGTGATAATTGGTGGCACGGTATGATTTTCAAAAGTGCTATAAAACAGAAATATTGGGAATTCAAATACACATTACTGAGGAGCTGGGGATTGCTCTGCAAGGCCCCAATGGCAAACTTTACATGTTAGCAAAATAATCAGAAGTTGCTAAATTCTTTTTTCCTTGTATTAAAATAGTGATATAGATGACAAATAACAGGATCTAAGATACACTAAATTAAAATACTTATACAAGTTTAATAATGTTTCAGACCAAACCAAAAAAAAAAAAAAAAAGAAGAAGAAGAAGAAAGTAAAGAAATTCATCTTATTCTAAATTTAATTTTTTTTTTCCTGTTGGTTCTTAGTCCCCCCCCCACCTCCCATCATTGGTTCTTTAAAACAAAGCAAAGACTTTGTGACACGGTAACTTTAATTAAAATTTTTAAAAAAAAGGAAAAGTCTGCTTTTTTGTAGCCTTTGCTGTCTTCCATATAGACTGGGTAACATTTAATCAAAGCAACAAGTTATCCCTGTTATTTGAAATATCTTCTTGTTAGTTCCACAGATATATTTTGTACGTCCACAGATATATTTTGTACTATTAAATGAGGAGGAAAGTTGGATAATTATCTCAAGAATATGCTGCCTTATCTGAAATTTGAAGTTCAAAGTAGATTATCTGAGACATCTTATCTTTGGGCCATTAAGACAATACATTTCATTAAAATTATACCAATCTTCAGGCAGATGTCTAAAAAAAGGGGTTCTTAAGAAACAAATAATAAATTTTGAAGTTAGCAAGTTGACATCCTGTCTAAAATTACGGGAATAGTTATTAAACAATTAAATTTGTAAATTTTTACAAGATCATTCTTCTGACTTAAAAATAAGTTATAAGTAGCCACCACTGATAATAAAAGTTATCTAATGAAAGAATTACATATTTGGTCAAAAAATAAATTATTAACCTGTAATGCTAATTACACAATAATGAAAACAAACAGTTTCCAGAAATGATTTGCTTAAGCTGATGGTTGGACAATGAAAACATATTTCTGAATCTACAGACTGCAAATACAAGTAAAATTACTAGCACTATTTGTTTTTTCCCCTAAGCTGTAAACATTAATGTTTCTATTCATAAGATAACATTTTCCTTCTAAGTACGAAATAGATAAAATAGTGGGAAGCTTAAATACTCTTAAATATTTCAATCAAACACCCAAAGCAAAGTATTTTGCCAGTGCAGGGGAGGTATCCACAGAATATCAGCCATATGTCTGAGAGAGGCAGTCTGATCTACGGGGTTACTGTTCACAGTGGCTAACATCACATGCGCTGTGTTTACGGGAACTGCTCCATTGACGTGGAAGGAATGCCCTATCTGGATTTTATATGCTCCCTGTTTACCTATCTTTTAAAATTCAATAAAACCAACTAGGTTTTCTTTTAAACATAACTCGTTTCACTTGAGGGCAGTATCTTGTTTACCAATAATATTTGGCAATAAAGGATAGTATGGCATTCACAGGCTTTTAGCTTTATACAGAAGCTTGGCTAAAAGTTAGACAACATAAAAATGCATACCACTAATAAACAATCCACCATCTTTAAGAATTTAAATATCTAATATCATGAGAGTGAGCTTTAGGTAAGAATATATCATTAGCAAGCTTTCTTCTCTATGCCTGGACACAATTTGCTATTCCTAAGATAGTGACATTAGAATTATTTTTCAGGATTCCTGTGGAGCTGTACTTATTTTACATCCATGTGAACTGCTGTCATCACTACTGTGTCCAAGCCCAGAGGATGAACTGGAAAAGAAGAGAGGGGGAAAATAATAAAAAGAGGAAATTGGTTTTCACAACACACTCAAAGCCTGAGTAACAGAGGAGAACTTTAATTATCTCCAGTCACAAAGAGAGACAGGAAATTTGGACTTTTAATTAGCCATTTGGAGTGCAGTTGGATATTTTTTTAGCTAGATAATTTAAACGCGAATAATTCAAGTCTGACTAAATGAAAGTCACATAATCAGAATGCAGATAATTGAATTTCTACTGCATTCATTAATTCAGTGTGGAGGTGTGTGTGAAGACTACTATGATGAGCTGTCACAGCTCAATAAAATCTCAGTCAATTAATTTTTTCATTATCTTAGTATTACATCAACAAAAAAACGAAGTATGTGTATATATCTATACACATGCCTGTGTGCACTATGTGTTGTACAAATACGTATATATTAAATCAAAACGCAAGGAAATACCTTTCTGAATCGTAATCTACATCATTTTCTTTTCTCCCTTCTTCATCTTCTTCAGGGAAACGTCTGTTCATCAAGGCAAATTTGTGAATTGCTTCTTCCACAGAGTACTTGGTCTGCCCAGAAACACAGGCCTCAATGTCGTCTGAGTTCAGATGGCTCTGCAAGAAGAGGTGAAGGCTGCTATCTGAAAGCAAAAGTGCATTCTGCAGGACTCTATGTAAAAGAAAGAAAGGAAAAAAAATAATCGGTAAACTGGGACGGACGGATCCCAGGAAGGAAAAAGAAAAACCTTAGAAACACACCACAGAGTAATTTCTGTACTGCAGGAAACTTTGCATCAATTATGGGTTCTTCCCATTAAAGGGATGAAAGCATATGTTAACTTTTATTCAATTATTTGGAAATTTAGGTGAGTAAAAACATGAAGCTAATAGTTAAGAACATCTGTTAAAAGAATAACTTCAAGGACATTTGTTCAATTTAACCATCTGTTATGACCATGTGGATTAATTATGGAAATATTTTGCTTATATAGTCATAGGAATTTATTCTACTTAAAAAAATTTACTGCCAACAGCATGTTAATTCAGGCATCTTTATTGGATAGGCTGTCACGAAACATCAAAACTTTTAACTACTATTAAAAATTATACGAGAAATTCAATATATTTCTCAGCATGTTTTGCATTTTAAAACTTCACACGTATACATATGTTCATAAGTACATGCTTATTGGGGCTCACTTTTTTTAATACCCAGGTCTGATTAGAAATTTCTCCAAAATCTTCAGTAGCACTGCATCTCCATATCCTCAAAACAAGTAACCAAATAAAATTGATTCCAGCCAATTTTACCATATTGAACTAAAATATGATAAATTTGTGCTCGATTCATACAATTTCCCCATGACAAATTAGCATTTACAAAAGTAATATAGATTTTAGCTAGTGTATCAGAAGTTCATGGAGGACTAAAAACTACACTGTAGCAAAATCTGTACATGCTTAAATTCATATTATCAGTGAATGTGTTTTTATCTGAAATACATGTCTGAGAATAGGAAATCAAGTATAGACTTTAACAGAAACTGGTTTTATCTTCATAGCAAAGGTTTTGATGTATGACCATCTAGTCTTTTTTAATAGTTCAATTACGGTATAATAGGAGACACAAAGATCAGATATAGGAGATAACACTAGAACACTAAACCTAAATATAATTTTGCCTAACATGGGATTTTTCACATAGAGATGTATGAAAAATAGATCATATATTTCAGACCAAATGAACCTTACCTTATATTTTGCATGTTTAAACAAGTAATTAGAAAAATAAATCTCTCTGGCCATTAATATCAATTTAGTTAAACTCCAAGGTCATTAGAACACCAAATCCTTTTTTTTTTCAAAATAAAGCAATTATTTCTTCAAGAAAGCAAATGCACATATCAAAACTAAAATCTAGCCACCACCTCCTTTGCTTCGATAAGTTTATAAATGTAGTTTGAGAAATTATTCATTCATTACTAGTCTGCTAAAACAAAAACTAAGACCTTTGTGCTTTTTAAGAGAAAATTTCAAGCAGAGCAGCTAAATACGTCCCCTCTCTGTGCCCTCTGCCCTGKGTTCTCCCAGAAGATGACCATGTCACAGGATAAAGATTAATTTACCATGTACAAGTAGCCAAGTAGTAAAATCCCTTTTACTACTCAAGATTTATTTTCTACATTTGTAAATGTTTACCATTTTGTTTTAAATACTTCAAATTAAGAGAAGAGTTATATCGCAACAACCCACTTATATGAACTTGGACTCCCTGTGAAGTTTGAGCAGAGCATTTCCTGTGGCCTCCTGTCGGTAGTTTCCTGCCAGCCGTAGGACAAGTAACTGTTCATAGGATTGTGCTCGCTGCTTTGTGTCTGTTGGAAATGTGTTTTATTTTCTTTATAAAATAATGGGTAATCTTTAAAATTGATTTTAGATGGTTTGAGGCATTGCACCACAAAAGTAATGAGCACTAATGTCAATGATATTGGACACAAATTCATTTTAGCTTTATTTCACGTCTAAAGCAATTCTACTGAGCCTTGAACTGCTCACACACTGTTATTAACTTGCTAGTWACCTAACACATGGGTACAGCAAACAAAAGTGATCAGAGTCCAGGTTGATCAGGACCTCAAGGCTACTGTCCTTTTTTCTTGAGCTATAATTCAATTTCCAATTTTACTGTACATTAGACTCATTATTTCCCAGTGTTTTCTGCATAATACTGCCACCTAGAGGACACACGGTTAAAAAGAGAAGGGGCTGGCGGCCCAGCTCACAGTACATGGAAGAAGATGAGGTTTGGGAGGAACGTTCCCACAAAGTTTCAAAACCAGTGTGTCTTCAAGGCATGGTTTTTGTTTGGGGGACCTCTTTTCTCTATGGCTAAAGGTATGCCACCATACTTACTGCATGAGCATGAATCTTAAACAAGCAAATCTATTTTAAATATGTTTACGCTTTTTATTTTACAATCGGATATTTCATTGCAAAATTTAAAATGAAAACTTTGCAAAGTGTTTCCCCCATTTAGTTCAGTGAGCATGATTGGTTCCTTCAGAGTAATAGTCAGTTTACCATCTATCAAAGAGGGTTGTGACTGCCACAATCATAATACTAAGTCCTATTTTTTCCTTAGTCATATTTGTGCCACTTTTCCACAAACAAATCTAATAGCAGAAAATCAACTTCAAACTCAATATAAAGAATACTTTGTAAAACAGTCAATAAAATGTCATTGTTAGAAGGCCCCATAAAAATAAATATATATGATTTTCAAGCCTTTATAAAAGGAACAAAAAAACAGCCTCTAGAGTTTTAAAGGAATTTCTGAAAATATATTTACAATGAGAGTCAAAATTTATTCCTTTCTCCATAACAACTTTAAAACAAAGCAAAATCTGCTTTTTCCTTGAATTGGACACAGTTGAAAATCTGGTTTTCCTCAACATGATTTTATAAGGTGCGTTATATAGTGGTTCAGTTGGGAGCAATATATAGCTACACAAAATCATTTAATCCTAACTAAAGATGTCCTGAGTCTACTGAACCCAATATAATGATGTCTATACACATCTGTACGGTGTGTGGAACGTTAGCAGTTTGGTGTAGAAAAAAAAATAATAATTCAGCCTCTTTACCTTTTACCAGGAGAAAATTTTTTTTAAATTTTAGAAACCCTATAAATCTTCACTGAAGATATTCATGATCTGTGCTGTGGTGCCCTCTATTGAACACAAAGACTTATAAAATGTGTGTGTGTGTGTGTGTGTGTGTGTGTGTGTGTTTACAACTAACTGTAATGTTTCAGTGGTAGTCTTTTATTAAAAAAAAGAAAACTAGCACATGTGAGGCACTGGGTTCGATCCTCAGGACCACACAAAAATAAATAAATAAAAGTTTTGTGTCCATCTACAACACACACACACACACACACACACATATATACACACACACACACACAATATATATATATATATATATATATATATAAAATCTACAACATATATATTTTTTTAAACTTTAAGAAATACCAAACCACAATAATCGTAGGGTGAATGTAGTTATATTATATTAATAGGAGCATTCAGTAAAAAGGGAAAGCCAGCTCCCACCCATGATATCCAATAAATATAAAACATTAGTCTGGGGCTGGGGATGTGGCTTAAGCGGAACGCACTCGCCTGGCATGCACCGGGCGCTGGGTTTGATCCTCAGCACCACATAAAAATAAAATAAAGATGTTGTATCCACTGAAAACTGAAAAATAAATATTAAAAAATTCTCTCTCTCTCTCTCTCTCTCTCTCTCTCTCTCTTAAAAAAAATAGTCTGAATTCCACTGTTCATAGTTGGAGACTTACCAACAGAGTATAATAATTTTAGTACATAACTTTCTTTTTCCTGAAACTATCACAAGTGACTTTCAATTTATAATTAGGGGAAAGAATATAAAAGGAAGATTATAGTCCAAGATTGAGGAAAAACAAATAGAGTTGAAAAATTCCACAATCATACTGGCCAATTTTAGCTAACAGTTGAGAGTTCTGCTAATTATAAACTCGCCAGTTCCTAGAATTAATAAAGTACCTCCACTTTTCCTACAATTTCCTTATCTGAAAAACTGAGATAAAACCCAATTCCTAAGTCTGTTGTGAGTACTGAGATAAAACACGTAAAATGCCAACACATAGCAAGTGTTCAATAAATGATATATTCTTATTTGGCACCTAATCAAAGCAACAGTTTTCTAATTCCTCTATGAAGACAGCCTGAATTTGTACTTTGCTGTTAAATATGCATCATTTCACAAATGACCATGACATGAAAAAAGTACATTTTATATTACACACACACACACACACACACACACACACACAAAGAGACATTTTGGTTTCACTGAGATTGAACACATATAGTGCTTCTGGTTCACAACTTCAAAACTTACATAAAACCTCATTTTTAAAATACATGCTAATCCAGACATTATTATATATCCTTTATACCTGAGTGATTACACCACTAGAGTAWCTCTGAACCATGTACAGCCAGAGGAATGAAAAGTTGTGCTCCATTTGCATACTATATGTCAAAATGCATTCTACTGTAAAATAAATAAATACATTTTAAAAATAAAAATATGTGCTAAAAGTCTACAACACAAGCTTATGTCACATTTTAATGTTGTGATTCCCAAAGGTCCTCTACAAATAAGATAGGAGGTATTTATGGATAAACTTACTTAATGGGTAAACAACAACACCTTAAAGGATGCCTGGCTGGGTCAGGCACSGTCCTGAATTACACAGCACATGCAGTTTCCCTACATGGGCTTGGGTAGATGAAGAGAAGGAGCTCTGGGGACAAAGACACAGAAGACGGCTATTTGTGCACAAACYAAAGAACAGGAGAGTTGTGCATGGAAATCTGGGGGTCACAGAAAGGAGAGGCCACAGTTTCGGTTAACTGAGTGGTATCTGACTCCTTGCCTCCTGCAAGTTCACAGCACAGAGAAGCAACAGCTTTCTAATATGAAACAAATATTCACCTACCGTTGCAAAACAAATAACATACAAGTGAAGAGGCACTGGGTTCAATTCTCAACACCACATAAAAAATAAATAAAAGGCATTGTGTCCACCTATAACTAATAAAAATAATTTTTTAAAAAATTTTTTAAAAAAATAACATACAAGTGAGCTGCATGTCTGTTGCATGATTTCACTTCTAGATGATCCAGATCCAATATTAATGAATTAAGCCACAGCCCTGATATGTCCATAGCGCTTCCCCATTAGAATGGAAGCTTCGAGGACAGAAGAATTTGGGTCCATTCTGTGCAGGTCTCTATCCCTGGCACACAGCCTGGCCCAACGCAGTTCTTTAACAAATATCTGTTGAATGAAAGATCACCATAGGGTTTCCAGAGTCCTTTCTGAGCCATCATCTGAACAGACAACCACCGTGAGGTTGGCAATGCATAGAATGTATTACCCTGGTCCACAGAAAACCGAAGGAATTAAGGAATTAAGGGCTGGAGCTGTAGCTCAGCGGTAGAGCGCTCGCCTCATACATGTGAGGCACTGTGTTCGATTCCCAGCACCACGTATAAACAAACAAATAAAAAAAAAAAAGGTGAATCAACAACTAAAAAAAAAAATATTAAAAAAAAGAACTAAATGACTTTCAAAATTCTGTAACTAAGGAAAAAAATCAAGAGCCAAGATTTATGAGAGACCTAGAACCCAGGTCCTCGAGCTCCTAAACCAATATACTTTCCATATGACATCTGCAAATAGCCAAACAATACTGTGCACCAAAATGCCCTGCACAAGCACAATTCCATGGTGACCAAAGGATACTCACTGGGGTCGTTAGTTCGAGTAAAGCAATGGTAGATGAAAAGGTTGTATTCAAAACAATTAAATGACTTCTAGTCAAAAACACAAGCCCTATGCTTAACTAATGACAAATACAGGGACAGGTGCTGTCCTTTAATCTCAAATAAGACTATACTACAGAAGATAAGCCACTCCTCAGTGCTGGCCAGGATTTGGGGATTCAGACACCCCCTCCCAATTCTCCCTGGTGGTGGCCAGGCCGCAGCTTCCCAGGGGCAGCATCTGGAGTGAAGGCTACTCTGAAAACTTGGGCTGTAGGGACCTTATCTTAAGGCCATCAGCCACCTGGGCCCCATGGAAACAATTAAAATCAGAGCTGTCCCCAAAGGGAAAAGGCAGAAAAAACTTGACCAGCTCTTTGTTCTGTCATGCTTGTAACACCCAAAAGAATACCACAGTCATGTTTTCAAAGGCCTCGGCTCCAATGAACCGTTCTCCTGGTCTCTTCTCTTCATATTTATTCCTCTGACTTCTCTTCCTTTCCCTGCCCTCCTTCAATTTATAAGCTTGAATCTCTCTGCATGTCTCTATGACCCCTTCAGAGGAAAGGCACTATGTCAATCTAATAGAAATAAATATTAATATTCATGTGCACACTTAATACCCAGAGCCTTTATGAGTGAGCCATATGGGGAGAAGGCAGTATATTATTTCAGGCTAGCTCTAGGGACCTATTTAGTGAACTCAAAAGGAGATGATTTCAGATCCTGAAGCCACTAAAAAAAAAAAAAAAAAAAAAAGCATGAGTGTTCAGGAGACCAAACCTGCCACTAACTAGTAGTCACATGGTCTACCCCATTTCCTTATCTATAAAAAGGGGACTTAGAAAATAAGCTCAATGCTACTTCATGTCTAAATGCATTAAAACAATAATTATCAATACTTAGACATTATATGCCAGACACATCGTATACCGGATACTACTGTGGGTGCTTGACGTGCATTAACCCAACCAATCCCCTCAATGACCTGAAGGGTAGGTTACCCCATTTTACAGATGGRAAAACACAATTGCAGAACCAGGATTTGAACACAGGCAGCCTGGCCAGTTTACAAACCAGAGTGGCACAAGCCTCCTGTTGGACGGCCATTCTGTCATTTCAATGAGTGAGACAATGGAAATCCTAGTAGTGTGAATTCAAGTGGCTCTATGGAAGTACGGCTCTCACAGAGAACTCTATAGAGTTAACCCACTGGGATTATTCAAACACCACCAATACTCCTTTACAAACATTCCCTCTAAAGGAAAAAATCAAGCCACTCCCTTAGAAGAGCCCTGAAAGGTGTGAGCAGACCATTGTAAAAATGATTTTGGCCTGCCAATCTTAAATGCTGTAAGGAAGACAGTTTTGAAAAAGTGCCWTTTTAAGGCACATTTGTTTCTTGGCAAATTTTACTTCGGTCGGCTAAACTYCCAAGTAATTGGTATTTGCTTTACATCTCAAGCGCCCAAATATTTATCCTCTGATTCAATTATTCATTGTTCCTTTTTACAAGACTCAGTCCCAAATGTGTACCATGTGATGTGAGCCACAAGATGGCGCTCTAATACAGGCAATGAACGTGTGCGCCTGGCTGGAGAGCAGAGAGGGCATTTCAGAGACAGTAACGTCCTCCCAGACAGGACCAACGGACCCCTACTGAGCAATTTGCTGTCTGACTACAGAATTTCGATAGACTTACTTTCTGAGGAAATCTTCCAGACCCTGGCGACGCTGATCAACGTGTTGGCGATTGTTCATGTTGAAAAACAGGTTTTTAGATGGAAGTTCTGGCAGTTGTCTTATGAGAAAGAAAAAAAAAAATTCTTAATGACCAAATCAAGGTGACTTAGTTACAGAAATCCCTTAAAGTGAAGGGAAATTATGCATGATAATAATTAGCACACACCTATTATATATGCAGAAATCAATTAACTTTTTTTAAAAATCTTTGAATATTTTCTGGGTCTTTCATGGTCAATATTTGTGAAAACGTGGTAAATTTCAAATTCAGATGCAGTAGCCTCAAAACTCACTAAGTCATATAGGCAATCAAGAAGCCAATAAATCATTTGTATTTTATATACTTAATGCATATCAATCTAACAATGTCTGTCATAATAATAAATTCTCCTCAATATGTTCTTTAAATCACTTACACCAGCAATGCATTATTTTGGAGTCTCTGCCTCAGCCACACGAATTCTCTATATCTTCTTCGTACACAGGATGTCTTCATTGTAAAACACATGCTATTAGTCTGTGTAGAAAAATAGAAAAATAGGATCTTCACCTGAGGAAAAAATGCTTTCCTTATAACTCATAATAAGTTCCAAATATTCATGCTAGATAGGATGTAAACCACCAAAAACATATTTACATTTATGCCAATACTCTGCAATCTTGCATGTAACTCACCAAAATCTCAGCCCTGAGGTCAACCAAGATGGCATTCATGAGAAATGTGGTCCCAGACTGTGCATGGCCCAACCACACCCTGAGCCCTGAAGGAGTCTCCTGCTCACCTAACTATGAGCATTGCCATCAAGGATGAATTACAAAAAAATAAAAAATAAACAAATTCTAAAATGCCAATCACCATTAAGAACTGTTCCTAGGGATCACACAAGTCACCAGGTATCCTGAAATCACTGCTCCACTGGAGAACAGCATTTCTCTTCTCTACTGGACACGAGGGGGAATGCAACCCAAGTCAAGAGGGAGGTGCAGGGTGCGTGGGGATGGGCATGAGCATACAGGCAGAATAGGCAGATCCAAATTCCAGGCTTGGTTCTGCTAAAGGGCAAGTCACTTGAACTTCAGCTTCTTGAGTGATGAAACARGGATGGACTAGTACATACTTATTTCACAGGGTGGTTGTAAGGATTGACAAGAAGCACTTGACAAATGTTATCTACCAATGTTATTATTAGTTATTAACAGTTGGTTTCCTTGAAGCTATCCTGAGACAGACTTGGAAAAAGCCACCCAATCTAAGCTAAGCCCTAACTAATGCTTCTCCTTAGGGTAAACACAAGATGGGTAAATACTATTCTTTGGGAAAAACAAGAAACTGACAAATATTTGTGTCTACTGGTTTCAAAAAATAATAATAATACTCCTATTCTCTATTTACTCTCTATTTATATTTGTATGAAACTCTATTTCATAATCTTTACAATTCCAAATGAGAAACTTATTTTTCCAGTAAGATTTGTATTATTTCAAAAATTATTACTCTGCCAATTAATAAGATCAGCAGCTGTTTTCCTTGGGAGATCTAAGTGATGAAGGGCAACTGTTCCCATGAAATGTCTGACATAGTACCTGATATGTGTGAACTTTATAAAGTTCAGAAAACCTCGGGTCGCAGAGAAGTTAAGAGATTCACCTTCACAGGAGCCACTGGTCTAAATACCATCTTTGCTGACATGGCAGCAAATGTGCTAGAAGGAGTCCAGGGCACAATAATGTTCTGTGGATGGATTTCCTAGCACACAAAGGTCTCACTTTGAGGTGCTCCTCAGGGACTAAGCAAGCAGGCTGTGTTACACCAGAATTAGAGTCCTAATGAGGTTTGGGCAGATCCCCTCCCAGTATCTTCCCCCCAGAGAATACCAGGCCACTGCCGTGCCTCCTGACATCCCCAGCACAGGCTGGGTCAACTTAAAATTCCCTTTAATTTCCCGCCTCACAGTCACTGGATGTTAGTAAACAAAGATCCACCTCATACCTATACCAGAATAAGGTCTATCTATGAGCCCCTTCATTCACAGGACAGGTTCACTAGAATATGAAAAAAAAAAAAAAAAAAAAAAAAAATATATATATATATATATATATATATATATATATATATATATATCACCCAGCTCTATCACCTACTACTTTAAAATTCCAAATAAATGTCAAAATTTCAGAGTCTCCTGATATTACTTCCCTTGAGGTTAATTTAAGCAAGTTAATCACCAACTTCTCTAAGCAAAGCTCCATCAGTACAGCATCTAACCAAAGCCATCTAGAACTCTCCAGCCCCATCATCCACTTTGAATTGTACAGTGGGCAGGCGCCTCTTCAGCATCAGACCATACTGAGATCACTAACTGATGAAGTTCCTTGGAATCTGTTGGCTAAGATTTGTTCATTGTCAATTTATTCGCATTTCAGAGAAGTGCCAGAATACCACCAAATAATTTGTGGAGCCCCATAATTTGGGGCTCCAGATACAGGTTTCTGAATTCGAGGCATGGTATTCACTAGCTTTTCACTATCTTCGGAGAATAATTAAATTTCATGCCTCCCATAAGGTGGGTGATAAGGACTCACAATTTTTCAGAGGCAGTTAAGGGCAACTAAAGAATATCATTGCATTTCAAATGCTTATTCTTATATGCTCATAATTTTCCACACAGAACATACCTCTGGTGTGAGCTTATGAATAAAACCAAAAGAAAATAAAAATATATAGCATACCCTCACAAACGTCTGCAATGCAACCACTAACTACAGGCAGTTCTGAGTTTTAATTTGGTTTATTTCCTAAGTTGGAGAATTTTGAAAAGAAAAAAGATAATTTTATGGCTGGTGTTGAGGTGTCTAATATACCAACTTAGCTGTTCACAATGATAAGATTAAATGATGGCTAAATTTTATTTCACTTGTGTTTCGTTGTCACAGATAAATTCTGAGCCAGTTCCTATACTCCTAAGAGAAGTCTGGACTACATAAATTGGGAAAAGAGACTATCTTCAAGATCCAGGGCCAATAAACCACAGTCCATGGACCCAGTCTGGCCTGCCACTGTCTTTGCAAATAGTTTTACAAAACACAATTGATTGGTTCACTCATGTATGGTCTAAGGCTGCTTCTAACCTCCAACAGCAGAAACGGTGGCTGAACAGAACAGAGGCAAAGGTATTCAGTGCCTGGCCCTCCACAGGAAAACTTTGCTGAGCTTTGTTCAAGATGATCACAGAAGGCCACACACCACAAAAACCATTCAAGAGATTACGATAAACGGTTATTTCCAGATAAGGTATATCATTTCTAATTGCCCACTCCTGATGCTAATTACTCAGAGTCTAGATTAAGGCAAAATAATTGCATATATTCATTTCCTGCTTTCTGATTCTGTGTATAAAATATTACCCTTCCTTTTCCCAGGAACTCTGTATCCTCTCAAAACTTCAGGTTTATCATCCAATATATTCTCCAGAAACACATTATAACAGATCATAAAGAAATATCATTAATGAGGTATAAATACTCTTAAGCCATGAATTTTAGATGTATTCACATCTTTATAAATGAAGGCAATAAACACTAAAATATTAATATTTTTAAAAGGTACAAAAAGGATGTAACTAAGAATTTTTCAGCTGTAGAAATCATCTTATTACTTCATTTAAGACATAAGCATTAGTTGTAACCATTCAAATTTAGCTCTTTGAATTAGGAAAGCTTTTATAAATTTTAATTTTAATTATCTCAGAGCAACCCATAAAACAGATGCTGCCTTAAAATTTCTGATTTCCATTGACCACAGATTGCATACTTACATGGATACATATCTCATAGTCAATATATGAATGCCAAAAGTCCTCCTTCTGAATCCTAGGATCTCGGACCCAGACGCTGACAAATTCCTGTAAGGGCATCGCAAAGAAATGTGTTTCAGAATGGCAAGTAAAGACTGGAAAGATCTGAGAGAAATGACTGTATGAGAACAACATTAGCCAACGTACGTGTCATACTTAAAAAAAAAAAAAAAAAAGAAGAAGTAAAGTTCATGAATCAGGCACCACAAGCAAGTTCAGAAAACACTTAGCCACAAGTGGAATTTTTAAAACAATGCAAAACTGACCGGACCTGCTTACAGATAATGTTATAGGTAACTGAAAACAAACAGAAAGATATGCTCTAAAACTTATTTTTAACTTGTAATCATAAAAAAAAAAAAGTTCATAGTTTTCACAAATTTTAAATGCAGTCATTTCTTACTTTCATTATCTCTAAATTAAAACTACAGGCCATGTCTGGCAGATTTCTTTCTGGAACACAAATAAGGAAAGGCAGCCAAGGTCAGGTGCAAAGTTAAGCAATGAGTTGAAACTGACTATRTGTGAGTAGCCCAGCCTCGARAATCTGCAGTGGTGACTTACTGGAAAGATGGACACCCTCTCTTACTCAAGACTTTCCTATTTTTAAAATATTTCCAACATATTAAAGCAATTCATTCTCATATATTTGTGTTCAAAGTAAAAGAGATGTTTAAAAATTTAAAAAACAAAAGCATCACTATGGTTAATTTTTGTGCCCGTTTTTAAAGATAAGAACAGGCAATAGGAGATGGCATTGAAACCAATACTTTTTTAAAAGTGCTCTTTACTTAAAGTTTAAAATATGAAAACATGTGCAGCAAAAGAGTATTGTTTGGCATCATAAATGTTCATATATAACTCATTCACTCAGCAATCATGAATTTGCTAATTGAATTTTAAATATTTTAACTTTTTGTTAAGATTGGGTCTGTCAGCTGACACACAGGCCTCTCTGTCTGGTTTTAGCACGTCCAAGACACAGACTGAGAGTCTGAGCCCAGGTTCTTTCCTCTTAGTGTACACTTTGCACCAGTCACCTGTCGCTGTGGGTGTGTATTTAAACTGATTTTCCTGTAGTACTTTTTTATGCAGATAATAAAATGGGAGCTTTCAGTCCAGAGTATATTTTAAAAGCAGCAAAGTAGTCCATATTCCCTGAAAATACCTTCTGCCATCTATCAAGTATCACCTTCTAAGGCATTATATACTTGATTCTTATATTTGAGACTTGTGTCCTACTGTTTGCCCTCAGTATATAGATATTATGAGATAATTCCCAAAAAGGTATATATTTATTTGTTTGTTTTGRGGGGGATTTTGTTTTTGTTTTTGTTTGGTTTGGTTTGGTACCAGGGATTGAACTCACRGGCATCAACCACTGAGCCACATCCCYAGCCCTATTTTGTATTTTATTTAGAGACAGAGTCTAGCTGAGTTGCTYAGCTCCTGTTTCAGCCTCCCAAGCTACTGGGATTACAGGTATGCGCCAAAAAGGTATATCTTAAAATCTCTTCACTGTGTATTTTTAAAATCAATTTGGAAGCAGAGGGAAAAAAATAAGGTAATAGTAGATCAATACTTTAAACATTTTGGCCATAATTTCTTTTTTTTTTTTTTTTGAGAGAGAGAGAATTTTTTAATATTCATTTTTCAGTTTTCGGTGGACACAACATCTTTTTTTTTTAAAGAGAGAGTGAGAGAGGTGGAGAGAGAGAGAGAGAGAGAGAATTTTTAATATTTATTTTTTTAGTTCTCGGCGGATACAACATCTTTGTTGGTATGTGGTGCTGAGGATCGAACCCGGGCCGCACGCATGCCAGGCGAGCGCGCTACCGCTTGAGCCACATCCCCAGCCCCATAACATCTTTATTTTATTTTTATGTGGTGCTGAGGATCGAACCCAGCGCCCCGTGCATGCCAGGAAATCGCGTTACCCCTTGAGCCACATCCCCAGCCTGGCCATAATTTCTTAAAAGCATATTCCAAATTATAAGAGAAACTATAAAAATAATTTTAAGCAAAGTATCTGTAATGTCCCCTAATTAAATTTATTGTGATTGAGTCAAGGAAAGATAGATCCTGCCCAAAAATTTAACAGAAGGAAAATCTAGGAACTCTGCTTCTTTGCTTTTAACCTTAGTCCTGAGTGCAAGCATATGTGTGTGCATGTGTGTGTGTGTGTGTGTGTGTGTGTGTGTGTGTGTTTTAAACTCATTTTCTTGCAGTCCTTTTCACATATACATAGTTCTTAGAAGGAATCAATGAATCAATGAACAGAAAGATCAATAGGTTAGGAAAAGGAGAAGACCATAAGTCCACATCCCCCCTGCTGCCTCCCCACCCTGCACATACTCAGCGCTGAATTCTGGCTTTCACAGATCTTGGGCACTTTTGCCTTCACAGACCCTTTCCTCCACACAGACACAAAATTAAAAATAAAACACACACACTTTACAACTACACTAGAATACATACAAATACATTAGCATTACATACTATAGCCTTTTTGATCTAAAGGTTCATTCTTCCGATTTTAAAAGGAATTTTCATGTTCTCTAAAAATAGTGTGTGGGCCCTGGCACCGTGCCTGATGCAGAACTGAGGGATGGATCCCAGTCACAGGTCACATGGAAGCCACGCTCCCTTGGAGGATGTTGGCAGGGTCATTTTTCCCTTGAAGAGGAAGACATTCTTAGATAAGACAGAAAGGGAAATTAAATATTTCCAACAGCTCAGTGCTCCCCTCAGTAGAAGGAAGACAGGCATCTGTTACTGAAATAGTGGGTCTTCGTCCAGATTGAACAAAAAGACAGAAACATATTTGTCAATTTGCCACAAATCTGTATTTAAAAAAAAAAAAGAATAGGGGCTGGGCTTGTAGCTCAGTGGTAGAGCACTTGCCTTACACACGTGAGGCACTGGGTTCAATCCTCAGCACCACATAAAAATAAATAAATAAAGATATTGTGTCCATCTACAACTTAAAATATATATATATATTTTTAAAAAGTTTCAAACTAAAACCAATAAAATCCAGTTACTGCAATGCCACATACCCCTGGCTACCTGACATAATTAATTGGTAGCAATGGCAAACAGTTCTCTGAAAAGTAAGGGCTGCCCCCTACTTTTTATTCACTCTCACCCCAATGTCAACATATAAACTTTGAACAGCTTGTCTCTTTTAATGGAAACAGTACTGAATTTCTTGYCATGAGCCCCCACTTTTTAAATTATAAAAGTTATTCACTGAGCTTCTGTTTCTACATCTGGAAAAATGGGAATAAATGTCTGTCCAACCCTGTTTATGAGGTGGATCKAATTGTAAAATATTAGTGAAGGATATTTTTCTTTAAGTACTACAGGAATGTAAAGTGTAATTACATAGAGAGGAAAAGGCTACTAGCATTGAGGTCTTTCCTATAGACATTAGAATTAAGAAATTAAGAAATCAATTGCATCTTTTTTTGAAGTAAAAATTACTAATTTAAGAACCCATTGTCAGACGAGGGTAATCCCAGTGGCCCAGGAGGCTGAGGCAGGAGGATCATAAGTTCAAAGCCTGCCTCAGTATTTAGCGAGGCTCTAAGCAACTCAGAGAGACCATGTCTCAAAAAAATAAAAAGGGGCTGGGGAATGTGGCTCAGTGGTTAAGCGCCCTTGGGTTCAATCTTCAACACCAAAAACCAAGCAATGAAACCCAATAGCAAATACTCTAGCAGCATGATTTTTCAGAAAAAAAGACAGTTATATCTAAGAGTTAACTAAAGATTTCACAGTACTTATTCCACCCAGACACTTCATAATATTTGAAAGAGGAATGGACAACACAGTAACAAATTACAGTAAAGAATTTCTTCCTCTTCTCAGTGTGTTCTCAGACCCTTATTATCACTTTAATCTTTATATAAGGAAATGTACATTGAATGAATATTTTAAATCCATACAGGGGGAAAAGGTCTTCTAAGAACACAGTTATGCATTTTAAATGTACACTCAGAATTCATGGTGACACTAGGATTCCAATGGTTTTTTTCAGTCCTGAAAGGTTTTTTTTTGTTGTTTTTTTGTTTTTTGTTTTTTTAAGAGAGAGAGAGAAAAGAGAGGGAGAGAGAATTTTTTAATATTTATTTTTCAGTTTTTGGTGGACACAACATCTTTATTTTATTTTTATGTGGTGCTGAGGATTGAACCCAACGCCCCGCGCATGCCAGGCGAGCGCACTACCACTTGAGCCACATCCCCAGGCCCCAGAAAGTTTTTTAACTTGGTTTGAATGCTAAATATCACTATTCTTTTGTGGATGGTGGACTTTTCTTCCCTTTCTATTCCCTGAAACATTACTATACCCGATGCACCGTCCCAGCCTGCTATTCTTTATACCTGTTGCAATTTTAGAGTGACTTCATCCAAACACATTCAACCACCCTGCATGAGCTTGTAGCTCTCATAGCACCACCCGTCTGTCCCATAAACACTCAGTGTCATAAACACCATAAACATCATTCTGTTCCTCACCTCATCGAAGAACATCCTCAACAATCCCAGTCAGACTTCTCTCTTTGACTCACCCCCTCAAATCCACACAGACCAAGTCCTTAAGATTCCCCTCCATGGAACTACCCACAATTCCATTTCCTCTACCTCTGCCTTTGTTCAAGGACCTCTTGCCCAACATTAATTGATCTCTGGACCCATATCCTATGTACCCTCCAAAACACATCTGATGATGTCATTTCCCTGTGTAAAATCCACCAAAGACTCTCCCATAATCTTCAAGGTCTAGTTCAAACACCTTAGCTAGACAAACACCACCTTCCAGGACTTCCCCACTACTTATCTCAAAGGCTAAGCTTTCTCTCCTTTTTTTTTTYCMAAWWTTTTTTTGTTGTTATGTACCTTTATTTTTTATTTATGTATATGTGGTGCTGAGGATCAAACCTAGTGCCTCAAACATGCTAGGCAAGTGCTCTGCCACTGAGCCACAACCCCAGCCCCAAGGGCTAAGCTTTCGACATCACACAYAACATGCCACTTCACACCTC